CATTAGATTGTGATTATAAATAATTGGATTATAGGTTGACCACTGTTTTTTTTTTAATATAAAGGGCAGGTTTAGGCTATAACTCACAAATTTGAATCATCTAGAATTAGGTTGCTTTGTTGGTTATCTTAAATGTACTTATTGCATTCACTTTATGCCCTGTCTTAGTTATCGGGCTATCGAACTGCGTAGAACATTTGTTCTGGAAACCATGTTTTTTTGAATATATTCAACAAAGTGTGTAAATGTTCATCGTTTAACCAAACAATATACATTGATATAAGCAGATGGAGATAACATATAATAGAGATCATTTTACCGCCGTTTATGCTATTGAACAACGCGTCATATGTAGTGCGAACAAGTTTGAAGCAGAAAAAAATTACTTGATAGGGCTATCATTAATTAAATTGATGTATAATTTAGTTACATTTGAATAAAAATTGAATATATGTTTCTTGGCTGTTTTTTGAACCTCTATTATACAAGTGTTCAATATTACATTTATATTTTATCTCAATAAATGCCTAAAGATGTATTTATTACCTCAAAGATCATTATTGATTATTGTATACATCTATATCCAATTGTTGTTATTGTCATTAGTACTTTTTAATTATCATGTTCAGCAGTGTGCAACATTTTTCTCTCCTTTTTTACAAATATTGATTTTATTGTTTTTCTTTTTTTCTCTAGAAGATCTCCACAAATATCATAAACAAGAATTTTGAGCTTAGATCTATGACTTACATAGAGATATATCTTAATGACCTATGGGAAACATCTTTTTTTTATTATAAGTATCACTTGTATTTTTGTTTGTTTTTGATTTGTATAATCAATAATGAATTGACTAAATTTTGTTGTTGTTATGGTTGTTGATCTAAAATAATGATTCGCCTTAATTGAGATTTTTATTCATTGAACTAAACAAACCACTTTGTTCAATTTAAGGTAAAAGAGAGATGATGATTGGATGGAATATGTGAAGTAAAATCTTTTCTCATACTTTGAAGAGTTCAATTATTATCTTGAATAGGAGAGTTATGTATGTTAAATAAACAAAGTTATTAAAGAAATTTTTTTAAAAACAAGGAAAGTTTAATAATCGTTTGATTGTTAATGTCATATGTATTTATCAAAAGATAGATAGGGAAACGGATAGCTCAGCATGATAAGATAAATATTGAAATTGAGATTAAATGTAATGAGAATGATCATGGAAACAAAATGAACCAATTGGGGGGTAGAAAATTTCAGGAGAAGATGGAGGGTGAAGCAGATGGCTGTAAAGGAAGAAGAGTATGAAGAAAGAGAAAGATTAAAAATAAAAAATTATAAGACATCAGGGCCATGGTAGAAGAAGAGGTTGTACCAGTCGTTTTTGCACACAATTCTGGTTTTTCCAGATGTATGACTAACGCTTCGGCAATGTAAAGATGTAGTCTAATTGTATTTGGGAGACTTCTACTTACCTTGTAGATGACTTTGAACGCAGAGTCTGTTTGATCGAGTGACCTGTATTCACAAGGTGTTCAATTACTGAGCTTCTTATTGAGCCGCTTCCTCCTCTTTTTAGCAATGCCGGACAATATTCTTGAATTCTTTTGGATAAATTACGCATCGAACGACTTATATACCTAGCTCCATATGAGTAGGTAAATTGATAAATGCACATTGAATTGGTCAGATGTGATAATTTATCTTTAAGATTATTGGTGAACAATGATCGGCTGGAGAATAATATTCTCAATGTTGCTGCGGGGAATGTTCTTTTTAAAGAATCGGAAATTCTCCTTTTTAGGATGTGTGTACGGCTCTGTCGCCCTTGAATTCGATGTTCATGTGTAAAGTTTTCTTTTTTACTGCGGTCATCTGTGTTTTCTGCCATTAACAATCAAACGATTGTTGAACTTTCCTTGTTTTTAGAAGTGTTTTAAGAACTTTGTTTATTTAACCTCACTATTCACATGCCTAACAGAAGTTTATTATCAGTTATGTGTTGTAAAAACAATCATATTTGAATGATAACATAATAAAAGAAACATCATATTCAGAAAATTTATTGTTAAACCATAATCCTATAAAGAAAAAACTCTTCTCTTATAAGCTTTGTTCTTACTCAATAGTAGGTTTTTCCTCCGTGGTTTCTAGTTTCATAATTATGACGATGACCACTATGGAGATAGTACAAACGTGTTTTGTAAGCAATTTTGCCGTTATTTACTTTTTCCATACTTCCGCGTAATATATATTTACATATAATTACTATTATTGACTATAAAATGGTTGTTTAAGTTTGACCTTGATCTTCTAACACCATTTTGTTCTCTGCTCGTATGAAACACTGATTTTCGTTCATAGATACATTGCTGCACACACACACTTCTTGTTCTCACTTATCAGTTGCCGTTATTTACGTTTGCAGCCATTCCCATTACATGATTATTCCGGATACACATTATTTTGGATTATATCTTTCATATTTGGAACTATTGGCTACTTCTTATCATTGTTGATTAAGAGACCAAAACTCGAACACATCCTATTCACTGCTTAAGTCAAGTCCCACAATTCTTTTTCTTTGTCAGTATTTACATTGTGTATATTATCAATTGTCTTGATACAATCAATATTTTGGAATTCAGTAGTAAGCCCATTGAATTTTTTATCACCTACCTGCTGTAATTTAGACAATAAACCCACTATGTAAAAGTATATATGAGCCTAATTGAGCTCAATCTTTATCTATCCTCCCATTGGTTGTTTACACAGGCAATCAACGACTTACCCACAGTTAATTAGCACTCATAAAATACATGGATTTTTCGAACTTTACACTCTTGCTTCCCAGTGCGTTTGCCTTTTGTGTGCCCGCGAATCTTATCAATTATCATTAATACATTCACCATCCCAACAACTGATGTTTTGGCTTTTGAATATTCTCGAGTAAATTCCTAGTACTACTAGAATTGGTCTGCTTAAATAGTCAGTTAGCGGGATATCATCTATTGGATATAAATAGAGAGTACTTAGCCTCTACAAATTCGGTGCATAACTAAACAGTTGTATTCCTAGCAGTGACAACAAGTGTGTGTGCAGCAGTTTACATATACACACCCAATTATTTGACTGTTAATTTGCTTCGTCACTTATTTTTTGTCAGGATCCTTTTCAACAATAAAAGTAATCACATATTTTCATTTAAATACCGATACCGACTCGCATCCCACCTTGTTTGTATGACATGCCTAGATGAGATTTTTAATGGCACAATTAATATCAAGCACATATATGAGGGATACTAGAAGGTAGAACTGCAACTTAAAATTATATTATTAAGCGGGAGGCTATAGAGGGGACATTGCTACAAATTCATCGACCATGTAACTCTGTAGCAGAGTTTTCGTGTGTGAACTTAAAAAATAAACTACAAGTCTATGCACCCTAACTCCTCCTGGAGCCCCTTTGAGGCTACTGCCGGCCCCAAGCCCGGATGAAGTAAGTAAATGTGCCGTACTTTTAGCTGAGAATTTTAACTTTATCTACTTTAACCAAAACTGTGTGTTCAACTACTTGGGTGGTTTGACATTGAGTGAATAATTGAAATTCTCATTAAACTAATAAAAAATCCTTTGTTGAGTGGGAAGAGTAGGAGTGAAACCAATCAAATGTTTTCTGGGTAACTTGTTATGAAATACAATATTTCCTTCAGATAACGTTTTGGAACACCGATACGGAGATTGCTATTTTCAATGCTGTTTCATAAGAAACATTGCAATTTTCGAAGAGCTTTATCGCTGTATCCGAAGTAGATTAAGTTATGGGTAACTGTTCCTAGACTGTTATTATATACATATTCTTAAGTAATTAGATTATATATATTTATATTCCTTCTGTCATAAGCATTCAACTGACCTATTGGCTATTATACGATTTACTATTCTATTAGTTACAGTCATAGCCACTTTTGGCCTGATCTTATACAATTATTTTTTATTTTATGATGTGGTCTGGTCTGCTTGTATATTAACTACGTTTCTGAGATATATGATTCATACAGTGGGAGCTGAGATTTTGTTTTGAACTGAAATAGACAGGGCTAGGCAAGAAGAACCATTAAGGACTTAGAGTTGACTCTAGGCTACTCGTGCTGGTTAACGCGTCATTGGTTTGGCACAGTTTCATGGTCGCACAAGTCGGTATTCGGATTGACGATTTTGTCACGTGATAATTAACAGGAGCAACAGACATTACATTAATTTGGAACGATTATCGTAGTGAACAAAAACACCAATGGGGACAATCGAATGTATCTAACAACAAATTACAGAACTTGTTAATAAAACCTAACAACCATATATTAAATGCTCAATTTGCAAAATATCCATCAATTATCTCAAATGACTCAGATTTCGTTGTTCTTGCGTTTCCATACAAATCGCATTCTGTTTTATTCTTTGCTGTTTGATCTTCTTGTCCCTCTGCTGCCAGACATTCTGTTCACGACTAACATCATATACTACTTATGTCTACATAAGTAGCACACCACATTATTACTGAAACTATAACTTCGCGAATCAGATTCCGAGGAAGAGATCATAATATGTACAGAGAGCAGAGTACTGCAGTGCTGTAAGTTTTTTACTGTGCAGCTGTTCGTTCCTTTTCTAACATACATTTTCTAGCGCAGTACAATTTGCAGTCACTAATCTTTGGAGATTTGATCTTGAACGAATCGCTACGACAGAGAAGTCCAGTCAATACAAAATAACAATTATTTATGAAGGAATCATTTGCATGTAAGGTAAAAAAAAACATATGAATCAGCTCTCCGGACTGTGTTGATAATTTTATTGAAGACTAGGTATTAATTCAATCTAAGACTCGTTCGATATCTCTCGAGTTATTTTTGTCTAGGTAGGGTTCCACCTGATAACTATGGTTTTTAATTTTGAAGATAACTGGGAATTATGTGCTTGTTGAGGGAGATAACAATATTCAATAAAATAGGAAATATATTCGTTTTAAATGGTTAATTACAAAATACATCAATTATTTTACAAAAATGTGCTAGGCATCTGCGAACTGGTCCGGTTCACCGAATCTTCCATTATCTACAATTTGTTTTGGAAAACGAGCGGTGGAAATTTTTAATCATTGAAAATAACGAACAAATAAGTGTCGTAGACTATGGTCCATGATGAAATTCACCAGTATTTAATTTATTTATAAAATACAAATTTATGTACTAGAATGTGATTTACGAGAAGAGAGCTGGTTGTAATACAATCCAGTTCCTTAAATCAAGGCAGGTGGACTGAGGTGCAAACCTGTGAAAAATTGAGTTAACCACTAAGCCATCGTTTCTAGTAGCGCATATTCGACATAATGTTATTATTGTTATGGAACCGAATTCTACCCTTAAAAAGTCCACCATATGAAGTGAAGGCTGGATTATATATTATTTTATTGAATTTGTTTTATGCCAGTTCTTTCGATCTGAGATATTGGGGACGTTCATCGTACACAGTTAAGTCGCACCTACACAACTGCACTGTAGTCTGAATAAAGTCAGAAAACAGTTTTGGCTTCATAGGATGTGTGATTATATATTGTAAAACTGTATCAAAAAAAATTGAGGCTAAAAACTTTTATTTAGAGGAATGAAACCAACAACAAATAATCAATCAGAAAAATGATCAGTTTAACATAGCTAAACAGTAACCGATAAAACTAACTTTGAATTAATTACTGAAGTGTTAAAGAGGAAATTGTGCGATAAAACAATATGGTTATGCAACGTATAACTTACGAACACCTTTACAATTACCATGAATGAGATTTGATAAAGATTTATATAATTCGCTCAGAAGTTTGATAGAAAATCTTAGATTTTATTTGTTATGCTATTAAAACTCATCATTTCAAGGGAGCATGACTCAAATAACCAATCAAAGAAAGCAATCACTGGTTACTAGAAGACCCCAAATGCCCTGGTATGGCCGAGAGTGGGATGGGCCCGCCTTCCCTCTCGAAATGCTCTCACACGGCCACGCATATACAGCCTCTGTCAGGGAAGGTCAAAGGCTCGGGGAGTGGCCCCCTAAGAAAACCACCTGCTTCGGTCTGGGTACCAGGGCAATATCACAGCCCGCACACAAATAAAATGAAAATGACGATGTTTACTGAAAATTCTATTCACGCTTCGATTTTTGTGTGGCGCATATATATTTGGTGCCCTCTTGTACCAATATTTGTGTTCAAATAAAATAAAATATTAGAAGACAGCACATATTATATTGGATCAGCACATGGGTATACATGTAAGGTTATTGATAAGCCGGGATAAGAAGGCGAATTCACGATATTTTAAAGTCGGCATATCATTTTATGACATGAGTTTTATATTTTATAGTTAACATTGTTTTAGGTCAATATGTTTGTAATAATGAAGTGCGAATTTCGTACAGTATGATAGGTGTGAACTTTTAGAAAGAGAATGAGGAGTAAAAACCTTGGACAGTAATAAGATACAAAGACATATTTTTAACAGTTGAATTCACGAGTCGATCTGAGCTAGACCAACATTGAAAACCTGGAAGCACTGGACAAGGAGTCCCATACTAGGACGAAACGGTCATCCAGTGTTTCCAGGTCTTCGATGGTGATCCAGCGTAGATCGACTCGTGAATTGAACTGTTAAAAATACTAAAATCTCTACAAATCCCCCTACTGACAAAGATATGTGGCAAAAAATAAAATCGAACTATGCACTTAAGACTACTTCTCACAATAGTTTCATGTTGCCTTGGTGGTTATTTAACTCGTTTGGAAAAGATGATAAATTTATCACAGAAAGTCGTTTAGCTATTTAGTAACACAACTCACTATTCGTATGGTTTTCGAATTCCATGCCTTGATCATTAATTTCATATTCATCATCTTCTGCGAAACCCTCGAAGTCTGAATTATCATCTTCAGGATCCGGATTTAATGCCTGACAGTCGGCTAGTGCTTTATACATGTCTTCGAGCTGTGCAAAGTCTTGTGGAACCAAGCGGAGGACGGACGTACAACCAGGGCAGTCTGGAGCGCGGTCACTATCAGATTCTTCATCTGAGCCTCCACCATCAATTTGCATGCCATCTTGCTCGTTTTGTGACTTCTTATCAGATAAATCATCAGTATTATTTGAATCCCACACACGATCTCCGTCGATCATTACTAATAAATGTGGGTGAGGAAACAAATTATTAGGATGATCTCCAGTCTGGTCTACCGTATTCCTGGCAATAGCATGTAAGGTTATTTGTGAATAAGGAATAAAGAATTGTTTTGATGTACCTTCCCATGTAAAACATCTACAAGTAAATATAAAGGAATCAATATTACTTCTATTTTCAAGAACTTTGAAGTACTTATGAATAGTAAATTTAGACTAGAGGTGGAGTGAAAAGTGACAATTAATGTGTAATTTTAGTCAAAGGTAAAAATATAACAAGATCGATAAACATTTAAGCGCCAGGTTGCATCTTACTTATTTCTATCTTTTTAGTCAGTCAGCTACAACGTAGGGTCAGGCACATATGTGCATCGGTTCAAGTTGCCACACCTTATTAGCACAACAAGATGAACACCGGATTCATAGAAGTGGTTAATTCAATGTTGATAATATATAAAAGAAAGATTGCATATAAGGATATAGTAATACAGGAAGAAAGAATTAGTTCGTAGAAAAAAAGATATGAAGCAAATTTAATCTAATAGTTTAAGGAAAGATAAAGAGTATATTCACCTATGCTATTGTGATCGATTCTGAGCCATGTCACTAAGAGTCCCCAACCATTGGTTACGATAGTCACGCGGACCCCAACCAAGTAGTCTGCATCTACCAACATAACTCAGACAAGAAGTTAGTGCCTTTATGGACTGATGCAACGTTTTGGTTTGACCACCCCTAAATTTTTTCCACCCGTCTCCAACAATAGTCAGCATTGCGCACAGTGGTAATAGGTGGTCTAGACGTATATTGTTTCTTTGGGATCCGTACACAGGGCCGAAGGTTCATTATCCAGTTAGCTTTGCGTAACTATTGGTAAGAACCAACATAAGTTTTTGGATATTTATCAGCGACAATTTTATTGTCCTTCAGATAAGTGATCTGGACGAGGGAAAGTGAAAAGTAAGGGAATTTACGATACATGTAAAAATATAACGAATGTGATTTCCAGATTATTTAGTTTAATTCTTTTTACACAAGCAAAACTGATTTTTCACCAACTATTGGAAAGTAAGCTCAGTAGTTTAATGATCCAGTAAGAGTGATAAGCCTAACGGTATCATTATATTTCATGAAAATTTTTAATATAACCCATCTCCATAACTTACTCCTCAGATATTTTTAAGGTTCCAGTGTCTATCAGAGAAGAATCCTCATAAAGTGAAATATTAGATTGTAGAAAGTGTACATCGGAATATTCACCGTCGGCGACCATTTGTGCAAAGTCCACGATATAACTAAGTTAAACGAACTTGAATAAGAAACGTTTGTAATCGCTAACTAGATTGGAGTTTCTGAAAAGTTAAAATGGATAGGACAAAATAATGAAAATTCTTTAAAATTCACGTAAAACGAAATTGGCCGGCGATACTCCAATTTCTCAACGACCTTTGAACGAATTTTAAATGACCTTGAGAATATTAGCCAATGAGCGAATATTAAGTATAGAGTAAAAATATATTAGACAAAACCAAGGAAATATAGTGGATACACTTCTTATACGTGGTTCAAAAACTTGTCAAGGTTAGAAAGAGGTTCGGAGGTTCTAAAATCGTGATGCATGCAGTAGAGGAAATCATCCATACGGCTACTGAATAGTCGGCCTCCGGAGCCACAATAAAGTTTCAAAAACTCTTTCATCCTCGACCACATAGTTTCAATATTGTTTATGTGCACTTCGGTTGTTGAGTACACAAAATGCCACTTGTGGATAACGATAGGATGCACATAACCAAGCCTATGTAGAAGTATGTACACTCTGCAAACATCCGTATATATTGTAGTACCTGGCTGCAGCCAGTGTTACTGGTACTTTTATCGTCTAGTTCTCGATAATTGTCATAACTTGCCTTAGTTAGGAAATATATATGGGGTTTTCATCAAGAACTAATATCAGCTATAATGCCAGAAATCTGTTCAGCCAAATGGATGAAAGGCTTTCGTGCCCGAATCCGAGATCTGTTATCTTATACCTGATTTATTCGTCCACAAATTATAGTCTCGCCGTTTTATTTGTTACAGTCGCTCAATTATCACGTTTTTTTTTACAAAATTCCTTGTGAACCCACTGTACGTTAGCGTTAAGAACTGAAGTTGGCTTCATGACCTTGAAATCTCCCACACGCCTCTGACTGGTTCGTCCATAAATTCTAATCTCGCCGGGAAGTAAAATTTTATGGTGCTATGAAGCTACATCAGTGAGTTTTCCCAATGTATAATAGGCTTACGATTGATTTTTTATTCTTTGCACCTTGTGATCATCAATTAGTAGGTTAGGTCCTTTTTTGGTACTTGTCAGACTACTAATATGGATCCCTGGTGGATAGATTCTGTAATAATTTGGTTGATCCTTCGGAGCACTTCAACAATGAATCGCGAATACCTTACCTACGTTAAACTTCTACGCCTCTTTAAACGAAATCGCGAACCTTTCTACTTTAGACCACAGTAAGTGTATTTCTATGTATCCATACTTAAGAGGTCCTAGAACTATGCTACTAAAGGACTGAAATCTATCAAGGTCTGTCATGCACTTACATGGGCACAAATTACTAAGTGAATATCCTAAATATTTATATTGGAAAACTTCTACCATAACTTATTGTCTAAAGATGGATACCACCCCAATCAACCAATAAAGGGGATGAAAGCGTAAATAAAGGGGAAATATCGCTTTTTCGCCTTTACGTCGGTTATTTAGGGGATTATTTGTAGACAAAAATACGTTACGTACGGTTTTTGAATATGCCACCTCCAGTTTTTATGTTTTCATAAACGTCCACAAAATAACTCACCGCTTATTGAAGAAACATCACTTTTGTCATAAAAACAATTAACAAAATACGGACACAGTGATTAGGCTGACACGCACATTCACTGACTTAAATTATTGTTTAGCTAAAGTGTTCGGACATGCTTGGTATCCAACACAAATAACTAACGTGATGCAAGTGAGTGACGTGCACTCCGTTTTTTATGTCCTTCCGACTTTCAGCGCAAATGCCGCTGTAGATTGTTCCTTCTGTATTTAGGGCCAGTGATTCTGCAAAAAACACTGCCGCAACCTCTGTTTCTTAATTTCCGGCGTCTGGCGTTATCCATTTATCTGCTTGCACACCCTAAATTACATAATACGGTTGTAGAATCTGTCAAAATAGACTTGAAAAACTTTCTTAAGGAATACGAATGGTGTTATGGGTCTCAAAACTTAGTTTACAATGTGCATTTGTTACAGCACCTTCCTGACGATGTTCGTGAACATGGACCTTTAGATTGCTTTTCAGCCTTTCCATTAGAGTCTTACATGAGACAAATTAAGAATTCTGTGCACAGCGGGTATGCTGTTGCTAAGCAAGCAGCTCAGCGTTATGCGGAGAAAATGTCGTTCTGCGATAGGCTTCAAGTTACATGTTACAAGTTAGATGCTGGACACTGGTTTGCAGCAGAAGGAAACCAGGGACAGATTTATAAGCCAACAACATTAATTTAATAACGTCTTCGTAAAACAGATGGCGATGCTGACTAGGTTAATCGGTGATGACCCTAAAACGTCAATGCGTTATGTTTTGTCGTACATCAAGACACTTGAGGTGGTCATTAATTTCACGTTGCTCGGCACTTCTTCAAAGCGCGCACTTCAGAAATGCCGGTTTTATAGCTTATTATTATTTATTTATTTGAACACATAAAAATTGGTACTGCCGGGCACCAAATATATATGCGCCATACAAAACAATGAGAATTTAAAGAGAAAGGAGAGAATGAGAGAGAGAACAATAACGGGGGAAACGGAAAGGTACAATCAGAAGAAATCTTTCAGTTAAGGAAGAAGCAACCATATTTTATGAAGAAGGAAAATGAAGGTTACAGCAGGATCACCACTGGCTTCTATTCTGAGCCATATCTGATAACGTCTCTAGCCACTGTGTTACACCATCTCTCGGACCCCAGCCAGGGAATCGTGAAGGACCAACACAAGCCAACCCTTTTCAGCTTTCTTTTATACCACGACACCATGTCATATACTGACCACCTCTCCGCTTTTTTCAACCTGTCCCAGAGTCGGAAAATAATGCACGACGAGGAATTCTCTAGAATGACATTCGTAGAACATGTCTAAGATGGTGACACCAATTGCATTATCCTCTCTGTGCCCGAACACATAATGCCGAACCTCTGCATTAATAACATGGTGTTGCCACTGGATGTCAGCAATCCATCGGAGACAGCGATGATCGAACACAGAGAGTCGTCTAACATCCTCAACTCGGAGAGGCCAGGTTTCACAAGCATAGAGCAAAACTGCTCTCACCGACGCGTTGTAGATCCGACCTTTTACAGCCAGACTAACATCACGAAGGCGCCAAAGATGGCCCAGATTGGCATAAGCCGCTCTGGCTTTCACTATACGTGCATTGATCTCCTCACTCACACCACCACCAGCACTTATGCAGCTACCCAGATACACGAACTTCTCGACTACTTCTATCTGCTCACCATCCAGAGTGAGTACAGGCTTAGAATCCTGCCAGTCTTGTAGAAGTACTTTGCACTTCGAAGGTGCAAAGCACATACCATACCTACGGACATTGATTGCCAACTGATTAAGTGCGGATTGCTTGGCTTGGACATTCTCGCACAGTAAGACAATATCATCCGCATACTCAAGGTCGAGAAGTCTTTCTCCAGGCAACAGAACCACACCACCATTACTTACATCCATCAGAGCTGTTTCCAGAATGTCATCGATGGCAAAATTGAAGAGGAATGGTGAGATTGGGCAACCCTACCTAATCCCACTGCTTGAATGGAATAATGGAGAAAGGTGGTTGTATGCCCTCACTCTGCCTGAGGTGTTTGTGTATAGGGCTTTTAGGATGTTAATAAACTTCTCAGGCACACCCTTCTTCAACAGACAATCCCAGAGAACAGTTCTGTCCAATGAATCGAAGGCAGCCCTGATGTCAAGAAACACTACGATTGTTAGCCTTTGATAAGTATGACGGTGTTCTAACATTTGGCGGAGGGTGAAGATGTGATCAATACATCCTCGACCGGAACAAAACCCAGCCTGCTCCTCGCGAGTCAATCTTTCTCGGGTTTTGAACAATCTACGAAGTATGACGGAAGCCAATAGTTTGGACGCAATCGGAAGTAGACTTATCCCCCGATAGTTGTTACAGGAACGACGTGAACCCTTTTTAAAGATAGGGACAACTATCGACTCATTCCATGACGTTGGTACACTCTCTAGTTCCCAGGCCTTTGCAAACAACGTCGTTAGTCCCTTAGTCAGAAAGTCACCACCATCTTTATAAAGAGCCGGAGGTAAGTTGTATGGGCCCGGTGATTTGTAACGTTTCAAGAGTTGGAGTTCCTTGCGGACTTCCGCCTCATTTGGTGGATCAGTCGTCACCGGCCATGGAGGACAGGACAGTCTGACCGATGTTGCCGGAGCAGCAGGCCAGTTGAACTGCCCTCCGAAAAATTCTGCCCATCGTCCAAGACGTCGATAGGTTAGTGATTGGCGTTCCGTCATCCTCGCAGATTGTTTCGCTCACACCAGACTTCTTGCTGCCAGTGGCTCGGATGAGTTGGAAGAGCTTCCGGTAATTACCAGATGCAGCTGCTGCTTCCAGCTCATTAGCACGCTCCGACCACCAGGCTTCTCGGTCCTTACGCAAGCTTTGCCCGATTTCGTCACGTAACATTCTTCGTCTGTGGTCAAACTCACGGTCACCCGGAGTAGACCGACGGGCCTCAATGAGTTGTAAGGAACCAGAAGAAACCCAGTGCTTGTAAGCGGGACGTTTCGCGAACCCACAACAGACTGTACCCGCCATTTTCGTGGCGTCATGCAATTGCAACCAATGCTCATCTATACTTTTCGGTGGAATGGTAGCTAGCCTAGAAGCTAGCTCGGTTCGATACTTACTAGCAACAGAAGTTGCAACCAGCTTGCTAACGTCAATCCCTTGGTGGTGGTCACTTCGTTGTCCACTGAAAAGTAAGGTAAGATTGGCGCAGACCAGAGCATGATCAGATTCCAAATAGGTACTCCAAAAGGAGCGGCAGTCTTGTACACAACCACACCAGTGGCAGCTGATCGCGATGTGATCAATCTGAGTCCAGGCTAGAGATGCAGAAGGGGGACGCCAGGTGGCACATCGGCGATGACTGTGCCGAAAGTTAGTGCTAGCCAGAAACAGGTTGTGGTCTGTGCATAGTTGCAGTAGACGTTCCCCGTTATCTGTCCTGCTACCAACGAGTCCCCATCGGCCACCTAAACGACTCTCTTCTGTGCCTACACGCCCGACCTGAGCATTCAAGTCTCCGGCTAGTACTACAATATCTGTCGAACGCACTTTCTGGAGAAGAACAGTTAGCTGATGGTAGAACTCGTCCTTGATTGCATCCGGACTGCAATCTGTCGGGGCATAGGCGGAGATGACGAAAAGACATCGTTTCTCACGCCGATTTCTTCTCACTTTGATGAAACTTTCTAATCTAACAGCACATAACCGACTGTTAATGGGGATCCAGTCGATTAGTGCTGCCTCAGCTCTAGCGCTTAGTGCGACACCAACACCAGCAAGACCAGACGAAGATGCCACAGGGTCCCCGGATAAACGCACATAAAACAAGCTTTTTGAAGTGACAGATGGAGAGCGAACTTGTAGTACTTCACCAGAGTCTTGAATACAGGTCTCGGATAGACAACAAACGTCGATATTAAGACTTTCCAAAGACATAGCCAGCCCTATCTGTTGTCCGACCTGCATAAGTGTGCGAACGTTGAAGGCAGCCAGTTTGAATGGTGCACGTGGTTTCAGAAAAACTGCTTCAGTACTCGTATTCGGTGGTAACATACAATTTCCAACCAGACAGTGACTCGAGAACGTTTAGATAGAGCCGAATTTTCACCATAGGCGAGCTGTTGTATAAGTCGAAAAATAAGGATGGAAAGAGTGGAAATAAAAGAGAGTGAATAGATGACGTGGGAAATAATAATAGTAATAATAATGTTAATTGTTTGACGATAAATCGCAGCGTGAACAGAGTTTTCAGAGAAGATCATCTTTTTCATTATCATTTGTGTGTGGGCTGTGATATTGCCCGGGTGCTCAAACCGAAGCAGGTGGTTTTCATAGGGGGTCACACCCCGAGTCTTCGACCAAAGGGTCTAACCCACAAGGCAGTGGAGCATCGTAAGGGGATGCAGTCCCATGGGTCACACACCGAGCCTTTGACCTAGAGGTCTAGTCCACAAGGCAGTGGAGCATCGAAAGGAGACGCAGTCCCATGGAAGCCGGTGACCAACGATTGGTTCATACGCCATTTTTTCCCGCAGGATACTGGAGCCCATGTGCACCATTGATTTGGGATTATTATTATTATTATTATGGCTGCATACGAAGTAACTTACACTTATAAATTAAACTTCAGGTGCATTGACGAATCGCTTCTTATCATCCTCCGTAAATGAAAAAGACCTTGCGAAGCTGTACGACATCGCGACACAAGGTTATTTTGATGACGTCAGAGACAAGTCGATGAAGCGTTATCGACGGAAACAAGTGCAGGTATGTACTAATTTAAAGTGATAATTTCCCTACTGCTTTATAATTGCAGTCAATAGTATTAACGAACATAACCGTAAGTTTAGCTTAAAGGATTTGGCTGTGTCTTGGGACATGCTTTAGAATGTTTTTCAGATGTCGTTTTGACTTATTTTTTTCTTTACAATTCAGAATTCACAGGAAGACTGTTTTCACTGTCAATAGCCGAACATACGTGGCTGAAGAACGTAGTCTGTGCAATTTTGTTTTACGTTGTACTTATTTTTCAATAAACATTATTTAGTAAGAGAGCTTAAATTCTAACTTATTGTCAGTGAACTTGCGATTAAATGCACTTGTGTTATAAATAATACATCACCTGTTTCTTCCGCTGCAGATCTTTTCAAAGGACGACGAACTGGCAATTACAATGGAAATGCTAAACGACTGATGCTCAAGCTTCCGCTATTATGTTGTACAATAATACGCTTTTCCTTTGAAATAATACTATTTAGATATATACCGCTTTTCCCATCCATTGCAGTTTCACAGTGGTTTGTTGTGGAAATAAAAGAGAATATAGGAGACCTTTGGGGTAATTTATTATATTATTTATTTTAACACATAGGTATTGGTACAAGGAGGCACCAAATACATATGCGCCACACGAATCTCAATTGATTTGTGTGAGGGCTGTGATACTGCCCGGGTGCCCAAACCGAAGCAGGTAATGCCAATGGCGTTTTAAAAGTTGGATCAAAAACAGGCAATTCTGTTTGCATTTGAGCGAAAAGTAGGCAAATTCGCGTATATTTAGGCGAAAAGTAGACAATTTGGCGGATATTTAGTCGAAAAGTAGGCAATTTGGCGGATATTTAGGCAAAAAGTAGACAATTTGGCGGATGTTTAGGTGAAAAGTAGACAATTCGGCGGAAATTTAGGCGAAAAGTAGACAATTTAGCGACAAAAACGGGGAAATCCGCATTATTTTCCCCGGACAGGCGAAAAAGGCAACTTTTGCCCCTTTTTTGCTTTTATTTCCCCTTTATTGGTTGATTGGGACTATACAGGTACGGGTCCATGAGGACGAAGACCTTTATATATACGTGAAAATTTTCTAATAAATTCACCTAGCACTTTTTGAGATGAACCGTGATTAGTAAATGAGAATAAAGTGGATGATCACAAAGTAATACAGCATTATAATGCTGTTGTTATAACAACAACAACAACGTTTAACGTGAGTACAAAACAAATGAATTCCAAGAGTAAAAGACTGACAGGATTTTCAAGATAAATTTTAAACGCTTGACTTACATTGTTGCAAAGACAAACAGATAGGGGCACGACAAACTCAGGTCCCAACCCAAAACTAAACACGAGGTGTTACGTAAAGTTTGTATTAAGCTCCACAAAATAATCCTTTTTTCAATAATCTGTAGCGGTAAATAAATCCCCAAAATAAATAGCTCTGTAAGTTTTCGACATTGGATGCTGACCACATTAGTTTCAATGGACTCATCTAGCTGATGGCGCTCGGTCATGCATCTGCACCAGATCACGAGTGGGAACGCCGTGCTCAACATCTACTGCAATCGCTAGTCAGATTAGTGCAAACGATCCTCGATATATTGATAGCCTAACAAATATATCGTCGAACCTCCTCACTTCTGTCTTTTGATTTCACTTGGTGGGTACGCTTCATATTAGGTGTTACTGGTTAAAGCGTTGTCGAACTCCAAATACCTGTAACATCTTTAATTCAAACTATGTAAGTTCGGTAAGGACAGGATGCTTGATGGCCTGTGTTAGTCCTGGCAAAGGTGGTCTCTCAGTTGATCCAACTTTATTTCGAGAGAGTCTACGGATGGAGCTTCAACTAAGTGTTGAGGTAATGAATTCCACTCGTTGATGATTCGGTGGGAAAGTCGATAATCAGCTAACAAGTAATTTGTTCTGGGCTTGTGAACTTTTTTGGAGTGCCCTCGCATATCAGGTGCAAATTGATCACTAAGCAATTTGAAATCTGTAATCAAGTCGCCTCTAGTTCTACTATATGACAAAGGGAATAGGTTTAGCTTGGCCAGTCGAGCATCATACGGAAGATTCGCTATTCCGGTACTCAGCTTAGTTGCTGTTCTCTGGATCCTTTCTAAAAGCTCACTGTCTTTTTTTAAGCAGGGGCTAGCCGCTTGTATGCAGTACTCAAGTTTAGGACGTACGAACACTGTATACAAAGTTAAAAACGTTTTAGCGTCGACATGAGTAAAAGCCCTACGTATTGACCACAAAGTTCTAAAACCTTTGGCAGCTGATGCGCGGCAGTGTGCAGTAGTCTTCAGATCTTGGCCAACGATGACTCCTACGTCATTATGTGTCTCGACAACAGGTAGCTCAGTGTTATTCATCGTGTATGTATCTGTACCTTGATGACCGACATGCATCACAACACACTTGGAAGTATTTGTAGAATTATGGTCTACTATGGTATTAGTACTGCTCTAATAATAGACCTAATCCTAAAATTGTAGATTTGTTATGATGTAACTGCCTAATCTATAAGATCTTACGTGGAAGTCACATCATCATCTACACCAACTCACTGCGTCGTAACAATTACCAATACATGATATAGAACAATCTTAGGCTAGAGATGGAACAATATATTTAATATGAATAAAAGACATAGCGTAACATTTAGCAGGAGAGACCACGCCTTCGTGGTCAAGCCATGCCATAAGATTAACTCCGATTAGTTCAATTCTTTCTCCCCGCCTTCTCCATTCTTCTGTATTTCTCCGCGTTAAATGTTTAATGTCTTTCTCATATTGTCTCGTGGTAGGGCCCGATGCCACTACATATTTATCGGCAGCTGCCAGGTATGAGATCATTCGGATAATTTCTTCAGGTCATTTTGGAATTCTAAGCTATCACCCTTACATCGTATCGTTCTCCATATCTTGACATCGTCAGCATATAGCAAGACCGATGATGATAATAGGCGAGGAAGGTCATTTACACACAAGAGGAATAGCACTGGCCCCAAAACTGTACCCTGGGGCACTCCACTAAGCAGTTTCCCAGCTAGATAACTTTGAGTTTACCCGTACTCTTTGTTGGCGTCTAACTAGGAAGTCTTTTGTCCACATCAATAGATTGCCTCCAATTCTGACGTTTTTTAGCTTATGTAACAGCCAGTTGTGCGGAACCTTGTCAAAAGCTTTGCTGAAATCAATGTACGCTACGTCTACAGGTAACTTTTAGTCTTTAAGAGCGCACCAGCTTTCACGAGCGACTAATAAGTTAGTGAGACAAGAATAACCTATTCTGAAACCGTGCTGTTTCTCCGAAAGGATCCGGTTTACATCGAGGTATTTAAACAGGTCTTTCCGAATAATCTTTTCTAAGATTTTAACAACCACGCTAGTTAGGCTAACGGGTCGGTAATTCTCAGGTTTATGTTTCGTACCTGTTTTGAAGACAGGACTTACTATGGCGTTCTTCCAGTCTTTTGGTTAACGACCCTGCGTTACGGATAGCTTAAAGCATATACTTAAAGGATTCGCAACGAAGTTAGATAATTCCTTTAGTAGCCTAGGATGAAATTCATCGGGCCCCATGGATTTACCTATGTCAAGCTTATTTAGCAGATCAAAGACATCGAGTTCATTAATGGTCACGCTATCCAGTGTATGTGTGTGGGGAGTTAGTATGCGCTGACGGGAAGGGTGCTTCTATGGTATATACATTGCTAAATTAGTTTGAGAACACTTGAGCCTTACCAAAGTCATCTTCCACTAATGATTCGGCAGTACTGTCTCCCCATAGTGCAGGAATATTTCCTCTTCTTTTTGTCCTTTGGTTTATATAGGAATACAAGCGTTTAGGACATCCTATGGATTCCTTAACAATTTTTGTTCGTACAGCTTTCTAGACTTACGGAGGGTCGAGGCACAGGTATTCCTGGCTTTTCGATACTGAGATTTTGTCTCATCAGTCCCCAGTAACCTAAATCTCTACCACATTTTTCTTCTCTTATAGAGAAGGATGCGGACCTCCCTACTGAACCATGGTTGAGAGTTTCTCGGCCTCCTTGGTATAGTCCAAGAGATGTGAGGTGTGGCAACTTTTAAGTATAAATTTCGGAATGCGTCCCAAGCCGTTTCAATTGAGGACTCCGGATCTATCGTACAATCTACTAATGATGCTGAGTGCATGATATTTGGTATATTCGCTTTCCAGACGTTAGGTCTGGATTGAGTTGACGCGTGCTCGTGATTGACAGTTATATGGAAGTCAAAAGTTAAAACTGCGTGATCACTTTTATCTAGGGGTGGCATGTAAAGGAGGTTCGCAACGTCATCCACATAGTGAGTTAATATAAGATCTAGTAAGGATTATGCAATGTCCGGGTCGTACCTAGTCGCTTCTTTCACATGTTGCACTAGGGCACATGTTATAACCGCATCAACTAGTTCCTGCTCGAGGGAATTATCTGACGATTCAGTTCGCAGATTTCCCCAGTCTGCCATAGGCGCATTAAAGTCCCCTAGGATTAGACATCGACCACTTTGTGATCAAGTATTAAGACTACTTAGCAGGAGATCATTTACCTCACAGCTTGGACTGCGATAGACTAAACCAATCAGCAGCTCTTGCCCCTTGAATTTCAAGCGGCAACTAATCAGTTCACACGTCCCCCTCTCATGGGATACACTGTCGATCATGACAAATGGTATAGCATTCCTAATGAATAGAGCTGCCCCCCTCCTTTACTCTTATGTATTCTGCCGGTCCTTACTAAAGTAAAACCCTCAAAATCGAGTTTCATACTATCTATAGACTGTGTCAGCCACGTTTCGGTGACTGCGATTATGTCTGGCTTTGTAGAGTCAATCTGTTCACCTAGTTCCGATCGCTTATTGAGCAAGCTTCGGGCATTAGTGTAACAGATCCGAAGCCTATTTAAGTGGCTTCGTGCTTCACCCAGAGTGGCTTCGGCATCATTCTCTGGAGAAGCCTGTTTCGCAACGACAGAAAAACAGGGGTTGGGGGTGGAGTAACCGTATTAATACGATCTGGCTTGGAGGTACACCAAGTTCCCAACCATGGGGTTAACAATCCTAAGGAATCCATATGGTGCTCTGTGAGATTGTCCACTACTTCGACGTGCCTAGTCGGAGTAATATATAGGAAGCCAACTGCCGACATCGAGTATGACAGTCGCATGCTGGAAGGACTATCCCGCTCTACGCGTCTCAGCTTCATTCATATCCCTATTCTAGGGGACTTCAGTCTCCCTAGAGTCAACTTCGCGGAACATACGTATATTGGAGGTGGAAATTCAATCAAAGCTCGGTTCTTCAACCTCATTGAGGATTTGGGATTATATGAAAATGTGAAGTCGGCTACTCGTTGGAGGAACAGTCAGACACCGTCGCGCTTAGACTGTGTTTTTACAAATCAAGAATTTCTAGTTGACAACCTGTCAATTCTGGCTCCCCTGGGGAAAAGCGATCACGCCGTTATAGCCTTTAGTTTTGTCAGCAAAAATGAGCTAAGATATCCCAACAACAACAGGCTCTGGAATTTCAAACGGTTGAATGCGTCAGCTCTATAGAACTATCTACAACAGGTGGATTGGGTAGTTCACCCTCAACTTGATGTGGATGCTCACTGGGACTTTTTACTGCACACACTCTTATGTGCTACAAAGCAGTCAGTTCCTCAAACGGTCTCCAAAAGCCACACACAACCTAAAATCATTAAAAACCACACTCTTCGTTTGTTAAGCCGCAAAAGGCACTTTTGGACAGAATACAAACGAACTGACAACAACAGCGCGTACAGGCAATACAAACATATAAGGAACATATGCACGAAGTCTATAAGAGAAGACGGGCATCAGTACCAATTAAAGCTTATGGATAAATTTATTTCCAATCCGAAAAGCTTATTACGTTACGCAGCCTCTCTTCGTCAAGCCAAAACTGGAGTTCCTCAACTGCCAGGTCCTAACGGCCCGACCGATAATGACGGTGACGCCGCTAACCTTCTGGCTGAACAACACTCCCGGACATTTCAACCGACCCACATCAACTATACTGATGACGGCTTCATCTGCAACTGCATAGGACTTTCCGTAATGAACCCGAACGCTGACTTGGTGTTCCGAATGCTGCAGCATATAAGAACAGACAGTTCTCCTGGCCCAGATATGGTCCACTCTTCTATACTGAGGGAAGCAGCTTCAATCCTGGCCACACCACTTAGCGTGATGTTCTCACACTCGCTAAGTCGAGGCAAATTACCGGAAAATTGGAAGCTGGCTCATATCACACCAATCTTCAAGGGAGGTCAACGCAGCGAACCTTCAAATTACCGACTGGCGGCTCTTCTCTCCATGCCTTCAAAAATCATCGAGTCCC